GAGTTCTTGGCCTATTTTCTATTGAAAGGTGAAATGTCAAGAAATCATTCTCCACAAACGTGTATTTTCTCAAGTAAAATAATTTCTAAGTAATCATAATTCTCATTTAATTATTTTATCACTGCGTAGCACGCTAATTTAGTTTTAAAATTTACCTGGCAGCGAACAAATAATTTAGCTAATTAGTGAATTTAGAAAAAGGTTCTGTTCGAATTTTGAAAAATGGCGCCACAAGTCAAATTGAACGTGATATTCCAAATTCGTGTTATAGAGAAGAAACCCCATGTTAGTGTTCTCTACTTAAAGTATCCGTCCGTTTTATTAGTATTATTCTGGATTAATGGATCCAGTGCAATGGCTTGAGGGAAAGGCTTTAGACGACGGGACTGAAGGATTGTGGCGAATTCACGACTTTACGACTTTATAAGTTTTGTAAAGAAACATCCCCGGAGGGAGGAATGGGTTGACTTAACTTAGACTAGTTTATAGCGTTTTTATATTTAAAACACAAAATTGTTCTGTATATACAAGGCACACAGACAGTTTGAAAAAAGCAAAAATATAATAAATGTCAGAAACGACCAAACTTTAAATTTTAAAAATATCGCTTTATTCAATACTTTATTTTCCTACCTCATACCTAGTTTTATACTCTCAACTATAAATTTCTATGTAATTTTATTGAACCATTCAGGGAGTTGATATAACCGAAGCCTTTGAGTTGCACCATTTAAATCCGCCCACGGAAAAGCTCCTTGCGAAATATTTAAAAGCGTTGATACTCCAATAAATTCCCTATTATATATATATTGAAGGTGATTCAACGACTATGGTTTCTATAGAACGGGCATTCTTCGAATAACTAAAAATACCAAGGAAGTTCCTAAAACTAGTGCGGGAATCTCTGACGGGTTGTTTTTAGTTCTACTATGCAGTTCTACTTTAGATAGTTGGGCGAGCAATTGCTTGTCGGTACTGTGGTACTTGGTCGCCGCTTTAAGTTTAGCAATACCGGCATAACTTTTCCATCGAGGAACAAATTGGAGAATGTACTTGTTCGACATGAGTATGTGGTCGTATTCGGCAAGGATTATATTTCAATTCAAAGTTTTTCATGAAAAGTCCGTTACAAATTGAATAAGTTTACCCAATAGTAAATCAAAAATTAATTTGCTATTCTTTTCTCTAATATTCGAATTACATTATCATAATAAAAATTAGTCCATTGAATTCTATTTCTATTCATAAATAATGTTTATTACAAATACCAATCGATTAATCTATAAGCAGGGTATCAAAAGGGATCTAGTTTAACTAATCGTAAAAAAAATAATCATTCAATATATTTTTAATTACCCGTTGAATATGTTTATTTTTCAGTGATTTCCGAGTATTCCACGTTCTTTCACATCATCTGTACACAAATACCCTAATGGATGCAGAGATAAGCACACTCGAACCCATCTTAATCTATAATCCAAGAGAGGATAAACCACTCCACGCCAGAATTGGATTTATTACGCAATACATTTTTTCCCCATTCTTTTTTTTAATCAGCTTTTCTAAGGGGCAATATTCTTTTAAAGGAATGTTAAATCTTCTGAACTGGATTGTACCCTCAAGCGAATTTGAGAATCGCTAACAAAAATGGTTACAAATAATACATATTAAAGACAAACTTTTGTACGATTGTCAATATTTTAAAATTAATTTATGTGTAAAAACTTTTGGACTTCAAAAAACCGAAAATTCAATGGGCTTATAATTGGCGAGAAATTTCTGTTTTTAGTTGGTTCAATTCGACTACAAATCATTTAATTATAGTCATACCAAGCTAATAAATATTGATATTTAATACTTACTATATTTTTTTAGAAACAAATATTGACTTTAGTCAGTAATCGGATCGTTGAATCTCTGTAATTTTATCAAGACAAATGTATTTGGTTTAGTTATTCCTATATATAAGAGTAAATTTCACGTGAAATAAATCTTATTTTAAGACTAAAGTAACAACTGTCGCAAAAGTTGTAACGTAAAAGGGTAGTAAAAACTCTTTGTCATCTTATGGCACGAATTACGTGGTTAAGACCTGAGAAGTACTCTCTGTAGCTACTTCACTCTCATAATGCCATAATTCCTTTATTATCGTAAAGGGGGTTGGTTACATAAATTTCGTTTAATAGTTGGGTATAAGGTTTAAAGTACGAAAATACAGTGTGTATTCATTAATTAATAGCAAAGGTTTACAAAAATTTCGAGTTACCAAAACTAGTCCATTTCAAAATTTAAAAGTACATTAACAAAAACAAAACCGTTTTACTAATGGATCTAGATCATAAAATTTACACGCAAAATATAATATGATGGAAAACTTAGTAGAATTTACTTTACCTGGGTACAGTATTATATATAGGCATTATTTTTAAAAAGTATATATGTATAATAAAAAATAATATTAATATCTTCTTTGTTATTTTCTATATTAAAAAAAAAAAATATCAAGAGTTTAAAGTCACGTCATTATAGATTCATGTTAGTCTAGTCGACAAGTTGAAAATGGTACAAAATAGAGATACTGCCATTGATATACAAAAAACCCAAGATGCACACTCAACGTCTAAAAAACGTCCTCAAAAAATGAGCGCAACATTCTAAATTGTGCGCTCATTTCAAATAGTCTCGCGTCGCTCGCGTCTGGGAGCAGTTGTTAAAAATGCCAAAGTGTTCTGTGAGAAATTGTAAAATTATAACGTCAAGAAGGCTAAAAAAGGATGGGATATCGTATTTTCGGTAATTAAAAAACTTTATTGATTATTTTTTGTTGTTTTTATGACTGATTATAACAAGCAATGTGTGATTTTTATTTATTTTTTCTAAAAACTTCATTCAACGCACAAACTTCTATACGGCCAACTTCAATGGCTGCTTGTTCAGTGTTAGAACAACGCATTACAGTCTTCTTTTTATTTTAGCATTATAAGAATGACCCTGTTCTAATAAGTGGAGTCGATGTTATTTATTTGTGTTTTTTTTTATAAATAAATTTATGTACTTTTGAACTTTTTTGTGTGTAGTTTTTGACAAATATATTTACGCTATATAAAGTGCAGGTCAGGAGGTAGCCAATTTAACATTTTTTTAATTTAAAGAAAAAAAACTTTTTAACCGGATTAAAGATATGTATTTACAACTATTTAACATCCAACACCTTTTGTCTTCAGTCACCGTGACCAAGCACGGTGTGAAGCACGCGAAACGTCGGATAAATTTAAAATTATGTTAAATAGTTCTAAATAAAAAAGTCATGTTCGACTCCACTCAATACCTTGTCCTACCGACCACGGTCGGTCGTAAAATTTTATTGCTTTAAGTACACTGCGTTGTAATAACAACTTTAAACAATTCGCGTAAGGTTGATTTTGCAATAATATATGCTTGTAACTTATAGAAAGAGACAGAAATAGTGTTTCGGGACACTTTCGAGCGTTACTTTTATTCGAGACTGTGCATCTTGGGTTTTTTGTATATCAATGGATACTGCTCTTAAAATTATGTGCGATAGCTCATTCAATCCAGAATGACGTCTAGAAAAATGTGCCAAAAGCGTGTGTTAGCACATAAAAAATTGCAAAAGTTATAAACAATTAAAGATGAAAAAAAAATGGCATTTCGTTTTTTGCCAATATTTAATAAATTATTAATATTTAATAAATTTCAAAAAAAGATTACGGCAAGCGAGTACGGCACATTAATTAATTTATTTAAGGTATTGAATATTTTTTTTTAAATTTGAAAAGATTATGGTGTGTTCTGAACACTATAATTAATTTATTCCCCTTAGAAATTTTACTTAAAATTAATTTTTCAACAAGTTAAACAATTGTTAACTAACGAAATTTTCTCGAACTACCGTCTTAATTGTAAGTGAAAAAAAATGTTTAAATAATGGTCGTAAAAATTTTTCGCTTCGTAGCCGAGCCTTTCTTACATACATACTTAACAAGATCGTGCCATAAAAGTTAAAAAAATACTTATACTTTGTTTATAACAATTTTTTTACTTAACTAATGTTGTTAAAAAAATTTTTTTTCTAAATCATCATATTATCGTTTTTTTATTAATACAAGATATTTATCGATTTGCAAAAAAAAATCCCGCCATTTGTTGATAAATTTTTTTTAAACAAATTGATTAAATCAATATTTTTTTTTAAATTTTCACAACTTTATGACATTACAATGTATTATGATTTTGAAAAAAAAATTTTTACCTTAATAACAAGTTTTGATTGTTTATAATAGTTTTTTTTATTTTTCTATTGTTTAAATAATTTGAAATTGAATAATGATTGAAATTTCTTAAATATTAATAGTTTATTAAATATTGGCAAAAAACGAAATGCCATTTTTTTTTTCATCTTTAATTGTTTATAACTTTTGCAATTTTTTTATGTGCTAATACACGCTTTTGGCACATTTTTCTAGACGTCATTCCGGATCCAATGAGCTATCGCACATAATTTTAAGAGCAGTATCTCTATTTTGTACCATTTTCAACTTGTCGACTAGACACTATTATCAATGTCGCACAAAATATAGTTATACAAAATTTAAAAAGGTTCAGCTTTTAAGTTTGACAACGGAACCTACAATACCACAATAATATACACACAAATATACATTATTTCCAATTAAAATTATATTTAAAATAATTGAATTAATCTTAAATCTTATAGATTGAATATTACGGCGGTGACAAAACGTGTTGTCGCCGCCATTGCGTTTCTAAATTCCAACTAAATTATTATTAAATACTCATACACGCTTGTTGTATTACCTAAAGATTAAATTTCGTGCATCAGTAAACTTTTCAGTAATAAATCCAAACAATCCATTTTAGGTTTCTGAGCGTGTTCCTTCGCCAAGGATTCTTCAAAACGCATTATCGTTGGCATGACGCCATAGGCTTTACGCTACCGTTAGTAATGTGGCTTACGAATGGTACCCCCTTCCTCGATGTGTAATATATACGTGGCTGTGGATCAATTTTACTGGCAGTATGTTTCCATTACAGCTGTTAATGCTGCCCATGACCATCCACATGATATTAGGGACGGCGATGAACCGAGGTACCCACAAGCCAAAATCTCCCTAGTCTCTAAACTCGTCGTATCGTCCAGGTAGAGCCGAATTATGTTTCCAAATGCGAAAATGTGATAACATGTTGATTTATAATCTACCTCTTGCATTGATCTCACAATCTTACATGTACACTTATAATATAGACGTAATAAACATTAAAAGCTATTGCCAAAGAACTTTAATCCACTTTAGGATCTTTGTAGACCTTGCTCACAGTACTTTTCCACTGCTTTTAGCCGACAAGTAGGAGTTCCTTACGTCCTTAAGTCACCAGGGTGAAGTGACTATTTGATTTTTGTAGCAGGTATAACAACCTCTAAAAATACAACAGATACTAAATTTTACGAATCCCAATTCGTCAATTTCGAAACGATAGTATTACTTATGTGTCACTAGTTGATTCTAGGTTGGTAATACCTTTTATATATTTCAGTATTATATAAACTGTTGAGCTGTAACTGTTCTCCCTGAGGTCGTAGGTTCGAACCCCAACGCGCATATAAACTTCTCTGTCTATGTCCACATTTCACACTGGCTCGTATGGTACAGGAAAACATCAGGAGAATACCGGCATACCTACAAAGTTGCCGGCCTATGTCTGACAAAGAAGGCTGTTCGCCTACTACACTCGCGAGCAAACAAATCGACTCAAGCGCTACCTCTGCATTCAAAGATTGTTTTAAGTGAAAGTATACAACATTTTAATAAAAATGATATGCCATTTAAAAGCTTAAAACTTCAGCTTTTATGAGATGTCATCATTATTAATAACCATGTATCCTTTTTTTTATTATTGGTGTCTGAACTTAAATGGGGGAAAAATGGGATTTTGAGTAAAGGAGTTGTGTTCAGAATTGACAAATAAAGAACGTTTTTTTTTCTTAAAGAGTATAACATTTATTGGTTCACTATTTGGTATTGCCCCCCCTAGCCCTTATTCAGCCCGTATTCGGTTCTTCATCGACCTTATTAATTTTTTGACGATGTCTTGAGGAATACCTTCCCACTCCTCTAATAAAGCTGCCTTCAATTCTTCAAGGCTCGAATGGGCTGGATTTCTTGCTCGTCCCCTTTGTTTGAGCTCATCCCATAAATGCTCGGCGGGATTTATGTCTGGACTGAGCACAGGCCAGTCCATTGTGCGCAAATCGACTTCTCGAAGAAACTGCTGAGTAACGCGCGCTGTGTGGCATCGAGCATTGTCATGCTTTAGGGTGAAGTCTTCGTCAACAAATCCTGCGTAGGGCACAACATGTTCCAGGAGAATATTTGTGATGTACCCATCAGGTGTCAGTCATGCTCTTCGGCCTACTCCAGGCACGAAAACGAGCTGGGTTTTACCCTCCAATGAGATACCAGCCCACATCATGCAACAACCGCCATCATAGGCAACGATTTCTGCGATTCGGCATTGGGAAAATCGCTCTCTCGGACGCCTGGAGACCCGGCCTCTTCTGTCACTGCCATGAAGACACATCCTGCACTCCTCAGTGAACAGGATCGACCGCCATTGCCCAATGCTCCAGTTAAGATGCTCTCGAGCAAACTGTAGCCGAGTTTGCCGGTGGCCTGCAGTCAATTTGGGGCCCATTGCAGGTCTTTTTGGAGTCAGGTTGGCTTCCTTCAGATGTCTTCTTACTATCCACTTGCTGACAGCTGTACCTCGACACGTCTCAGTTCGCCCTGCACGGCGACACCCGTAAGGTGCCGATTTCGCATGGAGGTTAAGACAATGAAACAGTCGTCTCGTTCAGAAGTACAACGGTGGCGGCGGGTTGTTGGTCTTCGAGTGAATGCTCCAGTCTCTTGTCTATCGTCTGTATATTCGGGATACAGCAGACTGACTCAAGTGAAGCTGGGAAGCGACTACTCGCTGACTGAGTCCTTGTCGCAATAAGGCAAAAACTTGAGCGGCTTCTTGAGGTGTGATATCCATGGTTTCTTGAAAACAATGAATGCAGGTTGCGGAGATGTGTATCGGTCAACTGTTGATAAGCAACTGATAAGGGTTGAAGGGTAGCGGGGGTTTTATAGGGGTAGAGGGTAGCGCAACTGGCTGGTAGCGTAGTGAGTAATTTGTCCCATACGCCCTATTTGCGCAAATTACCATGTTGGTAGCTGTTTTATTTAATCGTGTTGAAGTTTTTTTTAAAGCTTAGGTTTCAAGCTTTCAAATGACATATCATTTTTATTAAAATGTTGTATACTTTCACTTAAAACAATCTTTGAAAGCAGAGGTAGCGCTTGAGTCGATTTGTTTGCTCGCGAGTGTAGATAAAACGAAACGGAGTCTAAGACCAAGGGTTGTAACGCCAATGTATTTTTATATTTAACCTAATTATGTGAAATGTTACAATAAAATACCTTGTGACATTTTAAAACTAAATGAACGAAAATTAAAATGTTTTATTAAAAGTACACTTTGTAAACAAGCATATTACAAATTAGATGATTATATTCAAGATAAGAATGCTTGGAAACATGCTGGTCCTGCTCCATAGGACAATCCTATGATTGGCTCTATAGCCTGGGCAAAATCAAATTGGTTGCTGATTTTTTGCTAAAAAAAAATATGTTAATTTTTGTTATTATTTTTTTAATTTATATAATGCTACAAATGTAATTATTTTTTTTTGTATCTCACACACTGTTTTGTTGTGTTTTTTTAATATTTTTATTACTCTTTAATGTTAATATTCTAAGGTTTCGATATTTGTAAATATGTGAGGAACATGTATACTAACTTTTTTAGTATAGTAGTTTATTCTAAGAGTACATTGTCTTCACATATAATTATTTAACAAATTAATGTAACAAAATATTGTAAACCTATTTTAAAAGAGTAAGTGTGGAGTTTCTTGCCCATTCTTCTCCACACGAAACTACCTTTTGGAAGGGGCAACTAGAATCATCTTTATATTTTTTTTTTTTTTGACGTTCAAAAGTGCCATTTTAGATGGTCTAATTGAAATAAACGATTTGACTTTGACTTTATGTAATACCTACGGAGATGAAATTACAAAAACTAAATTGATTATTAAGTCCTTGTAAGCATTATTAATAACTTAATAACTATACTTTAGGAGCGATGTCCTAATATTAATTCCATAAAAGTGTAGCGGGCTGGAAAAAAGTAATGAATAATATAAAATATAATTCCACTTGAACTTCAGAGATAAAAACACATTTTAGCATTTATAGCAAACTCAATATTACGATTAAATTTGGCTGTAATATTGAAACGGAGCGTATTTTTCAGCAATGAAAAGCCAGACTGGGGTGAGCATCAAGTAGAAACCTTATTGGACCGCAAGGACGTTAATGGCAGCACATTTGCTGTGGCCACACTTTTCGAAGACCACGCATTACATCACATGTTCCCAACACTCGATCACGCCGTTTTAAAATACCTTCACCCGAGTTTTATGGACCATTCCGTAAAATTTCAGGCGAATTACAGAGAATCTACACAGTTCAAGATAACCGTTGGACAGTTTAAAGAAATAATGCAAACGGAATTCAAAACACGGGGTGATGGGCTGAATATTTTTGCCAAAGAATTTTTCGCTGTTTTGAAAATCAATAAACTTTTTAGCATGTTATCATTATTTTAATTGGTTTATAAACAAAGATTGTTTAGTTTATTATTAATTTAGATTAAATATGTATATTTCTCAATGAAACTAAATTAGATGTAAACTCCTTGTTATGTGGCTCAAATTATCTTCAGATCATGGCAATTTGTTTCCCGTAAATTGCCTATTCATCCCCGCATGAAACGAACATAAAGAGTGAAATATTAACGCACTCCGACTCTTTACATAAATAACGAAAACCATAACGGTTATATTAAACTTGATAATGGGTGTCACGTTTAATAAAATCCATAGGCTTAGAATGTTTGTTGGGAGCAATTTAAATAACCAATATGTGTGAGTAGGGAATTTCTTGATAATATGTTTTAGGTCTGTATTTCGTCGGATCTAAAATATCGGTTAAAAACACGGCAAAGTTTGAACGCTAGCAATTAGCTTATCCTAGAATTAGAATCTGTTTAAGGCGTAGATATAGAATAGAACTAGATGAGCTTCTAAAATAACAATAATAACTAAAGAGAGAAGGCATTAACGTGAAATACTTAAGTGCGAGCGAAACACAGTATCTGTTTTTCTGTCTCTATTTGCGTATCGGGTTTTATTTGTTTACCACCGAGCCCTTGGTGGTAAACAAGTTTTCACCGCTTACTGATAAATCTGTGAAACCCAAGTCAAACCCATATTTTAAGACTTTATCCTTATAAGATATGTATTTAAAGTGTGAGTCATGGTGAATTGTTGCATAATTGGATGTAAAAGCTGTAGTGAACGTAAAGAACTAAACATAACCTTACATCGGTAAGTAGCTTATTTTGTCACGACTCAGTAACTTTGTTTAGGAATTATTCATTCGAATGTGTATTTTGGTCAATAATAAGCAATCTTCAATGAATTAAAACTGTAAATACGACATATGTCGATCATTCGCTATCTCACACGCTGTACGCTGAAGCCTAGTCTATACCATAGTCCGTCTACGGTTTAAGGCAATTTTATATTCGGAACAATGGCGCGACTGTCAACTGTCATTGACATTTAACTCATAAATGAACAACGTCAAAGTCAAATCAGTTTGAAACCGTTAACATAATTTGACAGACTGACGAATTAGTAGAGTTCTCTGTAGTCAGCCGGATATTTGTAAATAGGAGTGATATTATATGAATAGAAAAACATCGTTAGAACAAATAAAGCTTTTCGATTATGTAAAACCCCCTAGTAAGGTGTTAGGTATAAGCGTTCACACAATAAATGCCGGCCTCTTTGTTCTTTAAGTACGGGATTTCACTCGCACGCCCCTGCCTTTGTTTATTTACCGATTCTGTTCCGAAATTACCAAAGGACATTTTATATTATAGAAGATTGAAAAATTAAATGTATCTGTTGAAAAAATGAAAAATTAACTGCATCAACAGCTTTTGAGGAATTAAACAAGAAATATAACATAATACATAGAATAGAATAGAAGTTTAATCATGAAAATATGAGAAAAAAGAAATATTTAAGGCTATAGTATGACGTTGTGGTAGGCCGTGTATGCTGAACTGTGGCCGGTTGGTGTCAGGTCAGAGTGTTATTAGAGGCGATAAAGGCAAAGACGGTCGACACATGCAGCGTGTTTAGTGTTTAGACGCTCGTGGCACATTCAATGAACTTACGATACTTATGAAATGATTGGTAACTTTTCTATTTTGACTAGAGCGGTCTAGGCTTGCACACGGGCGCTACAAAAAAGAAACATTAAGAAAATTCCTAGAAAGAGGAGAACACAATTTTTTTTAATGTAATGGGAGGCAAACGGATAGGAGGCTCACCTCATACGTATACCGCCGCCCATGAGCACATTGTTATAAGGCTCGAAAGTGCGTTGCCGGCCTTTCAAGATTACATTATTCTCATATTGCATTGTGTGCCTCCTGATTGGATCCCGCTTTCCACACATCAACATCTCCTGTTTGTACCTAAATGTGACCTAACTACTAATTACGGATCAGAATGGTCAATAATATAGTTGGGTAATTGAGCAAACAAGAACTAAGTTATCTTAGGTACACAATAATTAATTATTCTGAACTAATTAAATATTCATTTGTCTGCGAAGTTGCAGGTATGGGCAGTGACCCAACACGAAATGACCAAACTTTGAATTAACTTTGAAGATAGCTTTTAGATTTAATATTTTTTAGATGTTAAAATTATCTTATAAAGATCTGTTAAATTGAAAATGTTTCCTTAATTTTTTTTTAAATTTCGCATTCTAACCGTTATTGATCCTAGTTTTTTCTATCGAGCCGTTTCTTTTCAATGAAATTCTCATTATTACAACTAGGTCACATATGTTATAATACTTATTCCTTGAAGTCAATGGCCCATGGGTCAAAGCAAGTAGTTCATTTGTCTTCTGTATCAACATAAATCAATTGTTATTTCATCAGGTTCGAACCCAGGACGGTTGTTTTACCCACTTCGAGTCTTAAATATATTGAATTAATAAGAAACTCCGTTTATAGATATTTTTTTTTGTAATTATACAAATATACAGTATTTACAATTTTCTTAGTAATAATAGTTTTTATATACAAGTAAATATATATTATGCTATAATATATAAACACAGTAGTAAATTGAAAAACTTGTGTGAACCCACAAATTACATCTTTGTTAAACTTTACAATATTTGAATTTGCATTCACCCAAGTTTTCTTTACCCGTGAGACCGAAAACTTGTTAAGCATATCGGCGTAACTTGAAAATTCAATACAAGTCAATAGGAATAAATCGTGTCGTACGTGTTCAATTACAAGCTAGATGTAAGGAATACCTTCTTTGGGTCTTTGTGTACACGTGCCGAAAAGGTGTTTTCGTGATCTCGTAAAATTCTAGTACTCGTTGCTATGCGATGGATTCTATTCTGTTTTCAAATTAAAGCCTCGTACATTACATATATACCTATATAAGGATTCGAATTAATCTCAAAATAATGATAGGGCAGTCACGGGCCACTATCTCCTTAATAAACATCTCTTTGTCCTAGGTGTGACGGAAAGCCTCATGTGCAGAGGCTGTTTCAGCGCAGAGGAATCAGTCACCCACGTAGTCCTGGAATGCGTGGCTGTGGCTGCGCAATGAACAGAAATCCTCGCAGGCGTGAGGTCACTTCGTGAAGCCTGCGAAGTGCCCAGGAAACTTCTGAGCTTCTAGAAGGAGGACTTTGGGCACACGATGGCTGGCCATGCGTCATACTCGTGACCGGGTGCAACTTGTGGTCGTACTTGAATTCGTGTATGTGTTGATGTTAGGTATTTTTACTATATACATATTAAATACTTGCGTATTGTTCCCACGAGAATGTAAGGGCGTGCTCCTATTTCACCATGCCTCCCTCTGATAGAGAACAAATCTTTGTTTTTAATTTATTTTATTATTATTTAGTACTTAAGGTATCATGTGGAACATGATGTAATGGTGTGTTGTGTTGTGTAACACAAAAACTTAGCGATTAAGATTAAGAAAGAGTGGCGGAGAGTTTATTGCCAGTTCTTCTCTAAGGAATCTGCACCCTATACTCAGCATGAATAATATGTAAAATCTTTAATTATGCTAGAGTAGGAACAATACAAATTTGAATAAAAAACTTGGAATGCGTGAGTCGTTGGAAACGGATGCACGAAAAACATCGTTTGATTGTTGTGTTGTTAACTATACGCAATCTAGAAAATTTTACGGGGATATTTTTAGACATTGAAGTTGATATATTATATGACTATCGAACACTACAGTTAAAACGTAAATGTTTAATCAAAACCCGTTGCTTGCGTGACTTTTCAGAATTCCTTCTACATACAAAACAATTCATAATATAGCACTTAATCTAATATATAAAATTCTCGTGTCGCGATGTTTGTGGTTAAACTCCTCCGAAACGGCTTGACCGATTCTCATGAAATTTTTTGTGCATATTGGGTATAACTGAGAATCGGACAACATCTATTTTTTACCCCTAATTTTTTTTTGTAATTTTGAAATATTTTTTTTTATTTTCATTTTTTTATGATACAGCATTAAAAAATACATACAACCCCTAATTTTCACCCCTCTACGATCAACCCCTATTTTTTATTATAAATGATAAACATGGCAAAACGACGTTTGCCAGATCAGCTGGTAATATGTAAAATTTATGGTCACTACGCTGTGAATTCTTGAAGCAAAATAAGTACAGTGACATTGAAAAATTTGAGGCCTGTAAAAAGTTTAACATTTTAGATATTCCACGAAATATTTCAGTAAGTCGTGGGTCTGAAATTTTACGACACTTTGTCGTTACTAAAAACCTTTTTCCTTTTAGAGGCGAGACAGTTATTATTTATGTAAAACTTGGGGATAAATGCTTTAATATCCGCTAGAAATCGTTTGTATAAATTAATAATTTAGTAACTTTGATGAAATTGCCTTTAAAGTTTAACTAAGCAAACGTTTTTTCAATATTATGTTTTAGTACTGCATTTCAAAAGTCGGCAACGCACACGCGATCCTTCTGACATTCTCATGAGCGGCTGATCATTTAAGGTAAAACTTCGGCCCATTCAACCCCTTATGGTCTATAATAAAATATTGGTTGGTGTGGGGGTCTTCCCTGGGAGGATACGACCTCCAGTTGTTTTAAGAGAGAGTATACTCCTCCCTCAAAGGCCGGCAACGCACCCACTAAAATGGGTGTCCAAGGGCTGCAGTTACTGTCCTTTTTGGGCGTCCCGTAGGCTCGTTATCTACCCCTACTCATCCTATATATTAAAAAAAATAAGTATACATATAATGTAAATAACATAACTGTAGTGTGAATTACCACAATACCTCTTGTATATAATATTTTTGCGTCACTCAAAATTCGATGCTAAATAAAATTAACCTCTATATATATAAAATTCTCGTGTCACAATGTTCGTTCCCATACTCCTCCGAAACCGATTCTTATGAAATTTTGTATGCATATTAAGAAAGACAGAGAATCGGCTACT